TGTTCAGGGTTTGCATCCTTGCTATTGTCGGCCTACCCATTACTTTAATTGGAATTAAGATATGTTTAATATTCAGTTTGATATATTTGTACAGAGGCAAGATTTGTTTCTGATTTATAAACAAATATATCAAATTGACAATAAACATGCTCCTAATCTCAATTAAAGTACTGGGTAGTGATTGGTGTTTGGATATGTTGATAATAAAAACTTGATAATAAAGACAAACTAAACAATATTTAAAAAAGAGAATGTACGAACATAAATACAACAACACAACAATAAAAACTATTTCTGTTATCTCAATACATTATAATTTGTAAGATGCTTCCGAAATTGAACGTGCACAATTCAGGTGAAATTAATCCATTTAAGCTTGGCTGACCCCGTAGAATTTTTTCCAAGCATCCACAACTCATAAGGACTGATAAAAAGGAGAAACATGAAACGACTTTTAACGTTGAACGTGATTTTCCACCCCATACTCATGGATCCGTTCAAGGTTTTATTGGCTCCGAATAAATTTGCGTAGCGAACGTTTTAACACTTTATAAACTATAGTTATACAGGTTTTAATTGTGAAATATATAAATATGCAAATTGGTCTGTTAGTTTTAGTAACTTAATACGGTCGTAGGGAAAGTATGGCAATATTTAAAATAAGACGTAGAGATAGTCTTATTTAAACATACCTGGAAGGCCTTTTGTTGGTAGATAATTTAATATTAGTCTACCGTTTGCCTTGAAACACACATCGTGAAAATGCCTACTACAAATAAATATACTACAAAAAGACTAAAATACGTAAATTATTCACATGTATGTAGTAATATTTAAAATAAGACATAGGATAGTCTTATTTAAACATACCTGGAAGGCCTTTTGTTTTTAGACAATTTAATATTAGTCTCCCGTTTGCATTGAAACACACATCGTGAAAATGCCTACTACAAATAAATATATTACGAAAAGACTAAAATACGTAAATTATTCACATGCATGTAGTAATATTTAAAACAAGACATAGGATAGTCTTATTTAAACATACCTGGAAGGCCTATTGTTGGCAGACAATTTCTTAATAGCATTCAGTTTTCCTTGAAACATATATCGGCAAAATGGCTAGTACAAATAAATATATATGAACTACGAACTGCCGGTTTTGCCAATAAATGTTCACACCCAATTCGCTTCAACCAAACCATTCTCAAGTTTAGATTGTGAGGAAATAGACACCTGAAAGTATTCTGACTTCAATCCGAGAAATGTACGAAACCAGCACCATGTGGGTTTAGTCCAACAATCCACAAGTATATAATTGTAGTAACGATGAAACTTACCGCCTTGAAGATGTATCATCGCACTAAGGCACACAGAACCGTTTAATATTAGTGCTCATTTTTAATAATATTTTACAGACGCTCACAGATTTACGTTTAATCTTTAGTATAGATTTACAGTTATCCAATAGTATGTAGTATGTGCGGTTATCAACACTACTCGTCTTTATCTGTGGATTTTACCCGAGT